GTGTGTGTGAAGCAGCTCTGACCACAAAAAGGATCCATGGATTTACTGCAACAGCTCTGAACAGGAAGTGACCACAGATGAGTGTGAATGTAATGAGCTGCACTCTTGCAGTCAAGACCACTTAAACAGAGACCGAGTCCAGACCAGGACACTGTATAGAGCTGTTACCAATCAAACGAAATCACTAATTCACTTTATCTCATAATTATGAATTTTTGTCATAACTTTGGCATAATTATGACTGTCAATTTAGATTTTTTTAAACTCATAATTATGACTTGGTGTGTCAATTCCAACTTTTTATTTCATAATGACTTAGTATGTCAATTTCAACATTTAAAGTCATAATTTTGACTTTTTTTTTATCTCATAAAAATTAGACTTTATCTCATAATGACTTAATTTGCATCACAAATGACGCACTATGAACTATGCACTTATACACTCAACCATGTAGTGTATGAATTATATAAGGTTGTTTTGTCATTCATAATCAGAGTCTGGTAGCCCCTCCCCCTTCGTTACGTAATTAAAGCTGCGACAGTCGAGTGCATGAAGTGTCCAACATTATACACTTCGCTTTTTCGGTTATTTAAGTGCATCATCCTGGTATTTCAAGTGCACTTTTTCTTTTTGGGATTTTCAGTGCGAACACATTATTTGCACTATTTATAAGTACATGATTTGGGATGCACCTTTAGTGTGTCAATTCCAACTTTTAAAGTCATTTTGACTTATTATGCCATAATTACAGATGTTTCTGGAAGTTGTTGATCATAGGCCTCATTGACCTGAGCTTATGCACCTCAGTTTTTGAGTGAACATTGCCAAAATTCACCACAATTAATGCTTTTTTCACCACAAAACTGAGGAGCATGAGCTATGATGGCTATGACGCTAACATGAGTCAGATTTTATAGACTTGACTGTTCATGTTATAAGTAGTGCAGATCAAAAGCAGTTGAATCTTTGTAATATCTAATGCATCTGGTCTCTTCTGAGCTGGTTTTACCCAGTTTGAGCAGCCAGCCCTCTCGGTCCGGGTTGAAGAATGTGTGCGTCAGATCGTTCCCATCATCCTCTGGGATTTTAAAGGGTTCGTTGCGTATGCTGTTGTACAGATTCTGTTGATGCAAAGAAACACACATTTTCACCAAAACACATCAATACCACGACCTTCCTGTTAGTGCTGCTTATTTATGTAAATATACACCGCCACTGATGAAATTATAACATCCTCACGAGGCTTCAGTTTTGTGTTTTGTTCCTCACAGAATCTAGCGTGGCCATTTCTATAACACCAACAATCAGGACACTTTGCAGAATTCGAGAAGGATAAAAACTGAAGAATAAGTCTAATTCAGTGACAACAAACCATTTCCATTAAAGGATGGTATTTTCCCCTTAAAGTGATTTCCAGGGGCATTTCTGAACCTTAATAAGGGCAAATTATCTAACATTATTAAATGCGCACATCATCTTTCATGGAAATTCATGATTTCATTCAATAAATGCAATTAGAATAGTAAGACACAATGGGGCTGTTACCAATCAAATGAATCCAAAAATCCATCTTTGCACTGCAGAAGTGGCAGAAAAACTGCATTTATTGAGATTTAGATATGTTTAATGCAGCTCGGATATGCAATGAATGCATTTACACTAACTGCATAAATAATGTTCGAAGATTAATGTGTTAAATATAAAATATACTTAAATTAGAACTCTGAAATGACACCTTAACTATGAAACTTAAACCAGCAGTAGGTGGCGACAAATCACTCAGTCACTGATTCACTCATTCAACTGATTCATTCAAAACGGCTGATTCATTTAGGAATGCAGTGACTTGCTGATTTCAGAACTGTGTACAAGTATACTACTCTTACGATAAAAAGTAATAGTATACTAGAATGCAGTTTTGAATATAGCAACTGTCTTTATGAATGGGTTTTTGAATCATTGATTCACTTGATTTGTTCAGAAACAGTGAATCATTCAGGAACGAAACACCACCGTGTTGATCGTGTTGGTGAAACAGAGCAAAACAGGCCATACCGATAATATTGTGTCTAAAATGAACATCACTTAATATCAGCTTGAACATAACATTACCTGGTATTTATTTATTATATGCCACTGTATAAAGTATAAAATAGTGGCTGCTCACCGTCAGAAGCTCGTCGGGCAGATCTTGTCCGTTGTTAATGCCGCGGTTCATGCTGATGAATCTCTCGAGAGAGGTCTTGTCCTTCACGTTGGGATTGTGCAGACTCGTGTTCAACATGATGATGGCAAACGACAGGATGTAACACGTGTCTGACGATCACAATAACAACAATAATAACTAATTATTTGTCATTCGCTCAAAAAAAAAATCAGGCCTAAATTTAATATTTATGCATTTCAATTGCATATAAAATATCCATTTGGATTAAACTTAATGTGATGCATTCTGTATTTCCCAGTCTATTTGTCATTTTATTAACTATTTGCATTTAGATTTTATTTACATAATTATATTTTCAATGCATTTATTCAAATTGCTTAGAAGCAGCATAACCTATTTAGCAAAAAATTTAATTTTGTGACCAAAATATATTTTAAATATATGATGTTAGCAGTGACACTCAATAAAATATATTTTTAATACAGAAAATATATTTAGTTGCAACCCTCATTTACCAAAATATATTTTAAAATGTATTTCAGGTGCAAGAAAATACATCCTACATTTAGGCTAAATACAGATGTGGATGGAATAGTCAAAAGACCTAAATTAATAATGATTTAATAATGTTTATATATATATATATATATATATATATA